GAAATCAGTTTGTTTCCCCTTGATTTCATAGAAATCTTATTCTTAAAAATGAGATCATATTGATTAATTGATAGAAAAACTTTCTATACTCATATAATCTTAAAGTTATTTATGAAACTATTATGAATAATTTCACAATTTGGATAAGAAAAGATCTATTCAGACAAATTTTACTCTTTTATCATTACTTATTCTCATCCGACATTTATGCCTATTACATAGATTTATTATTTTCAAATTTTGTTTACTTCCATAATCATCTTTCCATTGATTCTTTGTTTTGAACAGTTTAGTTTTGATGAATAATAATGATCGTTAGGAATTTAGTCAAACGTGCAAGAATATCATACTGAGGATATTGACATAGATTTGTTCATACACAAAAAGAATTCAAATAATGTGATCTTCTTCTCTTTAACTAACAATTTAATTTTGATTTAGGCTGATTTTTCTAGGTCTTTAATGAGATTTTCGAAAATATCAATGTCAATAATCTATTGGAAAATGATCTAAGATTTGATTCGATAACATATCGAAGAGAAATTCCTCTGATATTCAGATGGTGCATATCAGATTTTGTTGGCTTTATTCTAAACATAATAAAACAAGAAAATAAAATATTTCAATGTATAGAAGATTTGACGTAGAAGGAAAATAATAGAATAGTTAAACAAATGATAGATTTTTGTTTAGACTGTTAATACTTTTGTTTTCTTTATCGACGACTATTTCAAATTAATCTAATAAAATTATAATTTCGAGATAAGTATTAAAAAATATGTCTAAATACTAATTTCGAAGTTAATTATGATTTATTGAGATTTTATTGAATATATCGTATTATTATACTTCAAACTATAAAATGCTTTTTCTATGGAAAAAGTCTTATCATTTTTCTTATAGAATGGTTCTTGGTCTAGGAAAAAGAAATTTAAAAAAAATAAATGAATGCTTCTCAAGAGAGAAATTAATCTTGTCTTTATTTGGCAAAGATATAAATGAACAATATTTTGAAAAAAAGAACTTTTACTTTTATTCAATTTCAACCAAAATCATAATTCAATATCTCAAACTTGTTTTGAAAAATAAATATAAAAAAAAACAATGAGGATATTTTTTGATTAATTTAATTTGATAATTTAATCCAATGAAGGAAACAGATTGAAAGTTTGATTTGGAATCGTAATCTAGTTGACAATTCAAATCAAAATCATTAAGAATAATAAAATTTATTTGAAATTTATTTTGAAATCTTAAAAAAATTATTTCCTTTTTATTCATCATTATTAATTAATTAATGAAATGATTATAACAATATTTATTCGTTTGTTCTGTATTAATTAGAAATAAATGGATTGATAAACGTGCTCAAGAATTTCGTCGTTCATGTTTACTAGATTCAATGGCATGAGTAAATCATCTATTGGTACAAAACTGATATAAGAATTTTGAAAATCTCGTTGTATATTTAAGTTAAAATCAAATCGATAATATCAGTAATCTGAATGTCACAGAGAAAAGTCAGGTTGAGCAATTATGTTTTTTATCATAGTGAATATTAGGATTTCGTTTTCTTTGTGTGAAGCATTTATAAAGATAGAACGAGAAATGTGTGTTTTTCTTATTTCCAATTAAATATAAAACAATTCTTTTGCTTTTTTCATTATCATTATCAAATTTAAAACAGTATAGTTTGTGAAGATTTTAAATTGTTTGATGCTGAAAGATTTCAAAATAAAGTAGAAAAATGGAAATTGTCGATTCTATATCAGATATATATTCTTACATTTTCTCAATGCAAATTACAATGGAAAAAAAGGATCTCAGATAGAGTTTTATCAATTGAAAAATATGCTTGATCGTTTTCCAACTATGATTATCTTAACAATAATAGTAGTTTAGTCGTAGAGAACGAATAGCAGATAAAATCGATTAGACAGTTTCATATGGTAATCATTAAAGTTCAAAGGTCTTTAATCATATAATGTTCTATATCAAAATACTTTAGTAACATAAAGATATTGAGAAATCTTCTTAATATAAATAAACTCATCGTTTTATGCAAATGATTTTTTCTAAACAACAATGCGACGCCCACAGAATTATTTTTAATCAAGACTAGAAACATGCTTTCTATTCCTATGCCTACTATTATAGTACAATTGTGTTAAAACAGTAGATATTAGGATCAACTGTATGAATAATTCAAACTAGTCAATTTCATATTGTTAAAATCTTATTTCATTAATAAATGTAACCAAACTACTGTAATGATACTGTTTTTTTGTGAAATAATCAAAATCATATGATTTTATTTTGTTGAAAAATTGTTCGAGTAATCATTTAAATAATTTTATTTCCTCAATAATAATATTTTTGAGTAAAGAGAGAAATGATATCGAATTGACTAGCTTCTCTCACAATATGAAGATCAATCCACAGTGGATTGTCATGTGAATATATGACAGAACTTTGACAAAATGTAATTTATTTATCATAGCTATGATTTTTTTCATTCTACCTACATTCAACTATGATATTTTCATTGTAATTACATGTGTATGACAGTGCGATCGTAATAAGCCTTATTTAACATTCGTGTTGTTGGACACGAACATGTATACATGTTCGTAGTGAACAAACGTTGCATTTTCATCTCCATAGAATACGTGGAAACGGTTGAGTGATTTTGTTTTAAAAAATGTTTAATTTTTTTCTATATCATCTTGTTTCTTGAAGAAAAATCAATTGAATTTTATTGTAGAATATTTTGTTCAATGTTATGTTAAACGTAAAAGAGAAAGTCTTACTAAAAGTTTTTCAACAATATTTTCTTTATATTTTGGTGAAAAAATTGAAATAATTTAATTATATTCTTTATGATTATTTGAAATCTACAAATAACGAACAAAATTTATATTAGAAATATCTGCAATGATTCATGTAAGTTTTTAATAAATTGTTTCTTTCTTCAATTTGAAAATTTTCATTGAAAATATTTTTCTAACAATATTCGATTTTTTTAAGTCGAAAACTTATGAAAAAAACTAAACTAAATGAATAGATTTTCTTATATTAATTAGATTAGTATTAATTCGTTTTCTCTCTTATTTTAAATAGAATTAAGAATTAATTCATTATATTTATCATATTTTAATCAAAATATTATATTATCTAAGAATTCAAAATAGAAATTTTTTAATAAATTCAAACTGTGTATAAAAATACTTTCTTTTACTTTTTTCTTAGATAGCAGATTACACATAATATGTCATCTGGTCTGTATTCGGTATTTTTGAGTCTTCTATTCCATAACATGATGTTTCTTGTTAAAATATTAAAGATGAAAATATTTATCAAAGTTAGATTAGCAAGCTTTTGATTTCTTTGCCACCACATGGCTCGTTTTCCTTGATTCTTGTTTATTTTCTGTTTCATAGTAACCAGTGCACCGTCCACGAACTTTCTACGTAGATCCTTCTATTTCTTTGAGCTTGTGATCAGCGAGTTTGTGCTTGTTTGACTTGTTAATTGTTGTCTATTGCATAGTTTTTCTTACATATTTTATAGCTTTTCACGATTCAACTTATCGTCAGTCATTTTTCTTTGTAGGAACTTAAGGCTTCGTAGGATTCATTTCATTCAATGAGTCCGCGTTGTCTTCTCTATTGACTTCTTCTGGCGACATATTAACTATTAAAAAATTTTGATTGATTTTACACGAGAGAGCTGTAGAGATACGAATACGAGACGAAAATGTGGATATTTCGTTCTGTTACCTCTCACATTATTCTATACTGTACATTAGAGAACGAAAAAGAAACTTGAGTCATTATTGAGGTAGACACGAGATTCGATTCACTATCTTGTCAGAAGGTAAAAAGAGAACGGAGAAAAATCAATAGAGCAGAAAAGAAAATGAGTAAGTAGATTTTGTTAGAAGTTTGTTATTTGTGTGATTGAATATCTTGATTAATTCTCGTATGAAAAGTGAATTACCTCGAATGTGTTCATATATCTTTTAGGAGGAAGATATATTTTGATTAAATATAGAAGAAAAAATGTTTTTTTTGTATTTTGTTAAACAAAGTTAAATAAACAAAACACTTATTGCAATAATTAATTAGATTAGAATAAACAATAAATTTTTCTGTAAGGTTAATTACATTATTTCATGTATTATAATTATTATTTATTGTACAAAAAAAGTCAATATTCTTGAGATTTTTACAATGTTTGTTCGAACATTTTCAATTGAATTTCATTCGATGAAGAAAACGATTTTTTTCTTTACGATTACATTGAGAAAAATAGTACTATATTGTATAAAATATCATCTAAAACAATGAAATTTATAGTGATGATGCTTATTGACATAATTATTACTTTTGAAAAGAAAAAGTCGAACAACTTGTTTTTGTTACTCGTAATTTCAACTTATCTTTTCTTTTTCTTATTTTTAGAATAGAAATTTAATGTTATTATACTATATTATTATATTGTTTATTCTAAAAAATTTAGATTTAAAGCTATATCAACTGTATCTTTTGAAATATGTTTTGGATTCCATTTCATCGATATATGTCACTGGTTTACAAAAGAATACTTATATTTGGCTGTGTTGTACATCTTATATCAATGCTAAAGATTTTATTAAAAAAACTAAAAAATATTCCATTATTCAAAAATAGATTTGTAGTATGGAGAAACGACTTTCATATAAAGTATTACAAGCTTTATAATAATTATTAGTTTAAACTTACAATAAAAGTAAGTGAGAATTATTAGAATGAATTTTCTGTTTTTCAAAATAAATTCAGATAATCGCTTTCATAATAATGCGTCAATCATATCAAATCATTTAATTGTACTAGAAACGATAGATTTTCATACTATTTATCAGCTAGTTAATAATAAAAAGTTTATAAATAAGGACAATTGATGACACAGTATTATAGGTGATTTTATAGTTTGTTATATATATAATATTCATTAATAAACATTCAAGATTAGATTAGATTTGCTAAATTCAGAGAAAAATATCATTATCGTAGTATAAATACTGACTAATATGTACTTATTCAATTAAACAATTTCCAGTAGAGTATATAAATAAAAATACGTTGCTTTAAGTAATAAAGTATCTTCACTCGAATAGTGAGATTACGAAAGAATTCTTTATACAAATAAATATTAAATAAAACTCTATTAAAATATTTTCTATTTATTTTATTCTAATAAAGTTTTATCTGTGGCAAGAAAATTAAAAAATTATTTCTATTTTTCGATTATGGAATATCTATTAGTAAATATTCTCATTTGTTTCTTATTTAAGATTGTTTCTATTTTATATATTTTTTTATTTAATTATAGTGCAATAAGAGATATTAAACATCAACTTGCATCATTTGATATTGGATTTATCGACGAAAGTTTATCAGGTGTTTGTGGATTCACTGACCCATGTACAAAAATTTTGAAAATATTAAATTGAACAAATGGAATGTCTCCTACTTTTACCGAATGAAAATAATTTTATAAAGTTTATAAGGATGATTCGGAAATAAATCAAGTCAATATATTTATGTGTTTTCATCCTGCAGGAATGTGTGAATTATTTATGACATTTAATTGAACAATGATAATTATTGCTTCATTTATATATTTGTATCATTTCAGTAGGCATTTATTTATTCTATATTTTTAAGATGAAAGTATTTGAAATATAATTTAAAGAATAGTTTCATTTTCAAACTTTGATTATATAACTTTAATAAATGTATGAAATATTTACAATTTAATATTGACAAAAATAGATCATAAAAAAAATGATATCACAAATTATTCTATTTATATCGAATAAACTACGAAGAACAATTTTGAATAAAAAGAAATTCACGTTCTTATAAATAAAATAACATAGAAAGTTTATCTGAGTGTATTGAAACAAAGAAACGAATTTCACAGAGATGACTATAAAAAGAACTAATATGAATAGAATAGCATTATAAGAATGAATAGTAATTATAAGATTAAACAATGAAAACTGAAAAGTATTTAATAAGATTTAACACACGACATACATTTTTAATGACTTGTGATTATAATTTAAAATTTTTTTAAGCATATCTATCATAGAAACTACGGTTGTTGCACAGAAAATGAAAACTATGGAGTTACACATTAATATATAAGCTTTAAAAAACATTAATCGCTTTTAATTATAAGGGGATATTTCAACTGAATTTTTTTTATTTTATCAGAAATATCAAAGCTTGAAATAATTTATATGATACAGAATATATTCGATATTTCACTGGAATTAAAGCAATCATTTTAACATCATTATGAGTTTATTTGAGCAATATAGAATGAATATTCAGTGAAAAAAATCAAATGATTTTTTACTTACATTCTCTTTCTTATCTTTTACATCAAATTATTATATTTTAGAGTCATCGAAAATTATTCTTAATATGCATACATATAAGCATATATCTCCTTGATATATGTCAAAACAAAATTTTGTATCCTAGAGTCATTGAAAATAATTTATAATGCGCATATACGTAAACATGTATGGCCTTCATATGTCTTAACAAAATTTTCTATTTTTTAGTCATTGAATATTATTTTTAATGAGTATATAGGTAGATATGTATCTATCTCCTTGATACATGTCGTTACAAAACTATATTTTAAAAAAATCGATAATTACTTTTAACGTGAATACATGTCAGAACAGAATCATATTTTACATTAACTCAAAATTATTTTGCATGCGCATAAACATACGAAAGTAACACAATGTTACGTGCAACCTCACATAAGTTTTCGAGTTTCAATAATACATCGTAAATTTACTACCCTTAAACAATGATCAAATCAATTGAAACATTTGAATTTTAATCTTTTACGTTAACACCACTTATATGCAGGGTAAAATTACAATTAATTTTTAATTATAGTTTCCTTTTTATTGAATGAATTATTTCATTAATAATAGGGGTGTCGATGAGGATGATAGAGAAGAAAAAGAGACACCCATCCTCAAGAATTCGTATTAGTTCTATAGAATTTTATTTAATAAAACTGAAATTATTCTTATTTTTTGTTAGAATGAAAAAATTGTTTTATTAATAATCGAAGAAGAAGAGTTTCAATATCTTGAATTAATAATTAATATAACAAATTTGATTAATACAGAAGATATATCAATTTTATTTTCTTCACAAGAAACAACAGTTATAAATTCTGTTCCTACACAAGTACAACAAGCAGGCTTAACAGATACAAAAGCTGTTGCTTGGAAATTTCTTCTTCTCATTATCATTTTAATTGTTTACCCAATCGATAAACAACCATTTCAGAATTGTAAGGTATGTTTCGTCTGCTTGAATTTAATATTGTTGTTTTTTATTGCACTTCTTATAGCTTTATAATTAATTAAAACTTAACAAAATAATTCTTATATTTATAGAAATGTTAAAGAAAATATTCGTATTATTATTTTAATAAATAAAATAAATAATAAATTATGTTTTGATTATCCATCAATATTTCATAATATAACATTAATTTATTGGCAACATTGGAATACTGACATACTTGTACAAAATAGTCTTTATCATTAAAAAGGTTTAATAACGATTTTTCTTTTAATTGTATATAAGAAATATTCTTCTTTTCATATAAAAAAACAGATGTTCAATGGCTGGATAAAAATACAAGTGAAAATATAGGTCATCGTCTTGCATCAATGCATCTCTCGATTCGACGAGCAAAACAAAATCATACACAAAAATTACCACATATTAATAAACATACATTTATGAAATTTGTTATAAAGTAATTGAAAATGAAGTACATTTATTCGAATTGGAAAAAAAGAAATTTTTTTTCATTTAGATTTGTGAAACTAATCAATGAAAAATCATCAAATGTTCATGAAAATCATTGTGCTGTTCAACGTCTTCTTGAACAAATTCAATATTAACATATAATATCAATTAAATTAGAAAAAGAATTACAACAAGAAAAAATTGTACTTGAAGAAAGACTTAAAGTATAAAATTTTCTTATTAAAATTTCGATATAAAATCTAAAATCTTTTTTTTAGAGTATTGTACGTATATTGTTAGTTGAAATAGGTCAAGATATGGTTACAGCTGAACAAAAAATTTGTGCTCATAAATCTCAAACACGACGAACAGTTCAATTAAAACGATTATTACCTGAATAATAATTAACGCAAACAAAAAATCTTTATAAATGTTTAGCTATTGCAACTGATGCAAGAAAATGAATTGAAACACTTGATATGAAATCATTACAAGAATTAAGATTAGTTACCAAAGCAGAAAAATTAGGTGAAGATACATTAGCTGCTATTATTATGATTTGTAAGTTTAGAATATTTTTTTATTTTTTCTATTTTTGTAAAATTTCATATTAATAATAGTAAAATCTCCAGCAGCTGATATAACATGGCAAAAAGGTGCGATAAGACAATTAGCTAATCTATATAGATTTATTAAAGAAACTCAATTATTTCATAAAATTAATTTGACAGAAGAATATATTAATTTCATCAGTATAATTATTGATAATGTTCAACTTGAAAATACATCACTTTATAAATGGATTAAACGAGTTTTACAGTTAGTTATTTGAAAAAAAAATATTTTTATTATTTTATATAGATATCATACAGTTTTACTTAAAAAAGTTCGACCAATACATGAAAAATATAAAGAAATTGAAGAAGATGAAAAATTAATTTTATTAGATAATAAAAGTCAAGTTAGTTTCTTATTGTTTAAAATTTTTATATTACAATAAAATATATGTTTAGGCATTAGAAGCTCGTTTAAAAGATCATTTACAACAGTGAAAGAAAATCAATTAAAAACTGCATCAGAATCAAATCAAGTTTATTGAAAATTTCTTGAATATTTTTTTAGATTTTATCTCGAGAATTAGAACGAACAAGTAAGATATTTGAAACAAGTTTAGAACGTCAATGAACATTGAATGGTAAATGTGCAATTGCATTAGCATTTTCAATTTATCTTGGTCCATATACATATGGATTTCGATGTCTCATGTTAATTGTTCATTGGATTAAATGTATTAGAGATAGAGAAATGACTATTGTTTTTGATCAAATATTAAGTATTAAAGATCAAATTATAAACTGGCAATTAGATCCTATTAAAGAGAATTCATTACAAGTAAATGAGTTTTTATTTTAATTTGAAAAATTCTAAAGAAAATTTCTTTTTAGATAATTGACAGACAAAAACCATTTAGTGGACCTGATAATATCGTCAAATGTTATTTTCTTTGATGAAATTTTTATTGGGTGAATAAATATATTATAAATGGTTCAGTAATGGAGTTTTACCATCAGAAATGGAAAATCATACAATTATTATTAAATCAATTGAATATCCACTACTTCTTATTGATCTATTTGGACAATATGATCAATGCATGGAAAAAATATTATAATCTTCAAAAAATTCATTTTAATAATTAGTTGAACATATTTTAAAAACTAAAGGAAAAAAATGAATCATGTTGATTGTCAATTTACAAATATAGTTTATGATTTAACCGATAATGATATAGTATATTTAAAAGATGTTCATCAATCATCATTTTCTACTCTTATTAAACAAATTCGTTGTAAGTTATTTAAATTAAAATAAATTCATATTTATTTATTTAAGCCAAAGGTCAACATGATGTTGTCGTAACAAAAGATACATCTGTAGATTTAATTTATCTTAGTGCTCGCCTTCATCATTATGATTGTTTACTTGAAGGAAACGTTTCTATATCAAATTTATTATATAGAAATTCGGATAATTATATTCGAGAAATAATTGATCAATTAATTTCAAATAATTCATATGTACTTAATCAATGTCAAGATGATGAGCTTAAAATTGTTTATTCTTCAATATGAATCCAATCAGTACTTGTTTATTATCAACAAATATTTGAATACGTTCTTTATACTTCAATGCATGGGCGGCGCGCCAGCAAGCAACGGGCTAGCAATTGCGTCCCCTAAAGATTTGAGGTTGCGCCACCCGTGTGCAAAACCCATCAGTAAGTGGGGGGGGGGGTGTACACTCTACAATCTTATCTAAAAGTTTATTGCGTCCCCTAAAAAATTGAAGCTGCGCCGCTTATGCTTCAATGGACGAAAAGTTTTCCACAATTCATTTTAAATATAATTAAAACTAATAGAGACCAAAATCTAATGAAAAATTTAATTGAAATGACATTTCCAACACATTTACGATTAGTAACGAAATTATTAAATGAAATATTTCAACAAATCTCATCAAAAAGTATAATTAAATTAAATGAATATCAATCTGAAATTCCACAAAATTCGAGTCAATTTAATCTTCAATTGTTTTTATTAAATTAACATTCAAAAATAAATTTTCATTTTAATGATTATCCATCAAAACAAAAAACTCTTTAACATCAATTTTATCTTTTTACAGAATAATTAAATAAATTATGGCATGATATATTAGAAAATATTCTTTAATAATTAAATATTTCATTAATTCATGATAATATTCATTTATTAAAAGAACGTTTACCACCTATTTTAAATTTACCATCAATCAAAGACTTTAAACAAGATCTTATTAGTATTGCTCTTTATCAGGTATCTATTCGATTTTTTTATTAATAGAGAACATTTTCTCAATATATAGAGTGATAGAAGGAAAAATTTAGTATTCTTTTTCTTGTAGAGAACAGTCTTGCAAACATAAATTGTCTGTTTGCTTGTGTCCGTATTATCTAGGTCTGATGATTGCTGACTTTCCAAACTTATTTACAATTAGTGGTCCCGGTGCTTCATCTAACTTAGCTAATATGATTCTACATATCGAACAACATGTTAAATGGATAACAAAATGTTTGGAATATCTACGAACGCATCATATCAATATGATAGAATCTACTTTAGAGGCAGAAAATACTCGGGTTAAAAATGTAAATGATGTTGTCGAAAATACTCTTTTTCGAACATCCAAGTCAATCTACAACGGAGCAAATATTCCTGGAAAACCACGAGTCTTTATACCCTATGTAGGAGGCTTTGATATTTATATGGAAAAGTGCGAGAAAATTCCCATCAATGACTATGAAGATTTTCATCTGATGAAGTAACTATGATCATCACAGTATAGGTGATGTAAAACATTCATATTAATTTTACTTTTAATGTAATTTCGTGACAGAATATCGTACAGTTCTGATTTCTTTATTTGATTCGATACGGGTGTCGAAGAGACCGATTATATTTGCTTTATTCTTTTCAGATAATTCTATTTCTCACAGTACTTGTTTATTAGGCTTCTGTTACTTAACAAATTCCAAAATAAAATGTCAATAATGATGGAAATGGCTCTATTACAAAAGGTTCAAGAGCAAGAAATGATGCTTTCACCAGCATCACCAGCATCACCAGCTATTCCTGCTGCTGGGTGTTCGCAAGGTGCTGCATCTTTCGTACAAGAACGAATATGGCTCGATGAAAAGATTCATCACGATCCAGCAATATCACCCGCCATGCATAATTTTGTTCTACCTTTGATAATTAAACATGGCTCAATGTTAATCGAGCGCATTCGTTCGGCCGTTGTTGCTGTTCTTGAACAGCATGAAATACTTCGAACTGCAATTTAC